GCCCCCCACGAGGGGGGAAGGGAAAAAGGGAACCGCGCCGAGGGGGGAAACACACAACGCACGAGGGAAACGTCGAAGAAGAAAGAACAGCATAAACATCTTCTTTTGGCGCTCTGGACGGCATTTCTTGGATCCGCGCTGGGGCCCCCTGGCGGCGCCTCCGGCGTCGCCCATGGCGCGTTCCGCGCGCCAGGGAGGGGGGCCTAAGCGCAGACCTAAGAAATCCGCGCGGACCGTTTTTGTTCCTTTTGAAACCTACAGCGAACACGCCCCGAGGAACAAACACAAAAAGCGTGGACGGAGAACATGAAAACGCTCTCCGGGGCTGAAGGTTAGGGGGGGGAGGGCGGGACCCCCCCCTCTCCACGACCCTTCAGCCCCTCCCGTTTCACCCTCGTCTCCCCTTCCGCCAGAGGTCAGTGCATGTCCCATGCCAGAGTGCCCCGAAGGCCTCCTGAGGCCGCCAACATGTAACAAGGTTTTCCAGAATGGAGATGTTCGAACCTCGACCTCGCTTCCCTCTTCATTTCCTCCTCCTCCTCCTCCTCAAAAGTCGATCCCCAGACCTACCACAGCTTGCGCTCTGGCCAGAGTTCCGAGCGGGATTCAGCCGTGGTGACGAGAGCGTTGCAGGGGCCACAAACAGGCCTTGCGACGTCCGAAATCCTTGATCCTCGAAGTTCCTCGTCCAATCCGTCCGTCTCCCTGATCCTTCTCCTTAATATTTGATCCCCGTCGTCCTCCACATCCTCATGCTTCGCGATCCTTGATCCCGCTCCTTGATCATTGATCCTGGGCCGTCAATCCCCCGCTTTGGTCCTTCGCCTTGATCCTTACTCCCCGTCGCCCTTGGTCCACGTGGCCCCCCTCCCTTCCCTTCTTCGCGTCGACGTCATGAATACTGGAACTGGGAACCACTTGCTCGCGATGGCTTCCCAGACCCCCGACGTCGTGATTTTTTTCATGACGCGCCCCCCAGAGGGCCGGACCCTTTCCCCCGGGAGCGGTTTTTCACCCAGAGTCGTTGTTTGACGGTCCCGAGGCCCGATGAGGGCCCCGGAAGCCGAAAACAGCGAAAACGTTGTCCTCGTGATTTTTGTCACGACGCGAGGGGATGTGGTTCTGTTTAAGAAGCCCGGGGCCCCCGCAGTTCCAAGCACCAGGGAGGGCGGGAGAGCGGGGGGGGGACGGGAGGGAGGATAATCGGATAAACCGGATAATCGGGGCAGGATTTCATTTCACAGACCATCATCAGCCCCGTCGTCCGTGTGGGCAGTGGCGAGGTGGTGAGCTGAATCTGACCAGCAGTCGTTGCCTTTACGTCGCCTCTCCTCTCCCTTCCCCAGCTCTTCCTCCTTCTCTCCTCTCCATCCCTCTCTCCTTCTCTATGTCTATGTCTCTCTCTCTCTCTCTCTTTCTCCCTCTCTTTTTTTGTCCTCTCTCTCTCTCTCTCTTTCTCTCCATCACTATCCCTTGATACTCATTGTCTGACAGTGCATGGGGCGAGGACGTGGGTTAAGCATGAACTCCCATAGAGGACGAAACCCCGAGCCAGAGAACGCGACAAATGCATGATACTAGAAGAGAAGCTCACCATCCGCAGTTATCGTGGAAATTTCTCTCGATGACCCTTCGGAATCGCGTCTGAGCATCCTTGTCTGCCTTCTGGGTGGTGTGCAGCACACGTCCTATGTCTCAACAAACGCCAAGTGTATCCCAATGCCTCTCCCCATCCCCTCTCCATTCCCAGAGACCCGACGTGGCAAAGACTTGCAGCATCGCAGCAAATCGCGACCGGAACCACGGACCCCATGCGTCTGCGCCATTTGTCCGAGCCCGATCGATCTGCGAGGGCCCCGGGGCCCGAAGTGGAGCTCAAAGGTCCTTTTTGGTGACAGTATTATTGCAACGCCAGGATATCAGGGTTCCCTCTCTCCCTCTCTCCCTCTCTCTCTCTATCCCCCCCTCTCTCTCTCAAAAGGTCTCCCTCTCTCCCTCTCTCTCTCCCTGACCCTCTCCCTCTCTCCCTCTCCCTGTCACTCTTATTCTCTCTCCCCCTCCTCCTCCCCGCTGGCGCCTGGCGCACGCAGCCACCCCAGCCGCTCGCAGGCGCACGCACGTCGTGCCTTTTTTTGGGGAGGGGCCTGGCGTGGCCCGGGCCGCGGCGGCTGCCGGCGTGGCCCCCGCCTGCAGGTGCACTCCGCGGAGGCGCCGGAGGCCCGGGTGGACGCTGGCGAGAACGCACAGGCCGCGCAGCTTGCCATGGGGGGAGGCTCAAGGCGGGCCTGTCCCTCTAATGACAGGAGGAATATTCCAAAATATAGTGCAAGGAAAAAAACAAGCAGCCTGGTGACGATGTTTGGCGCATTTTCGACCATGTTTGAGCATGTTTGGGTTATTCTTATTTTTCCCCTAAAAAAAAGTCCGCCCGTAGGAGGACATGCCCGACCTCAGGTTATGTCGGGCGCGTCCCCCTGCAAGGGGATTTTCGACGAAAAATACAGACCCCAAACATATTCCAAAAAGGTCAACAGAATATTCAAAACATAGTCCCCAGACTATTTTTGGATCATTGTTTGAATATTTTTGGAGGATTTTTTATGTTTCGTCGAAGATCGCCCTGTAGGGGGACACGCCCGACACAAACCTGAGGAGCGGCGGGGTCCTGCAGGGAAGCGGACCCCGAGGCTGTTCGCTGGCCTATAGGACCGTGCGGGGCTCTCCGCGGGCCCTGGGGGCTATCGGGGCACGGCCCTCGGGGTGGAGATCTCGTCCTCGGGGGAGGGCCCTACTAGGGTCAAGTCGGGCGCGGTCCCTCGACAGGAGGAGTGTTCAGACACAGTCCCAAAGTAGTCTGGGGACGATGTTTTGAATCTCTCGGGGTGGAGATCTCGTCCGGGGGGAGGGCCCTACTAGGGTCAAGTCGGGCGTGGTCCCTCCATAGGAGGAGTGTTCAGAGATAGTCCGGGGCGATGTTTTGAATCTTTCTTCTGCTTTTGAGTGTTGTGTATATGACGTTTCGTCCAAAGTCCGCCTGTAGGGGGGACATGCCCGACCTAACTCTTGGGTTCAGGACTTGTGCCCCCCAGGACCCGCGTGTGCTGCTAAGGTATTCGCGGAACAAGGACTCGCAGCACCTCTGTCTCTTTCGCGGGCAGTATTCCCTCTCTCGTCGGCGGGAGCCCGTTGTGCCCGCACGACCGCCTGGACTCGTTGTGTTACACACGTTGCAGGTGGAGGCTTCCAGGGGCGCCCGCCGCAAACAGTGGCATAAACATAAACGTTCGGAGGTCCGAGCGGATTTCTCCGATCGGCGCTGGAGCGCCCTGGCGGTGCCTCCGGCGCTGCCCCTGGCGCGCTCCGCGCGCTATGCAGGGAGGGAGGTCCAGCGCCGATCGACGAGATCCGCGCGGACCTCCAAGAGGTTCTGTGTATTCCGTTCTCTGTTCCTCTAGAATTGCGGGAGAGGACCTATTGAGAGGAGGCACGTTGTCAAATAATTCCCAGTTGTCTAAACCATGTTTGCAACATGTTTGAAGCATGTAAAAGACATGTCTGACACATGTTTTCTTTTACAGCTTGCAACATTGAATGCACATCTTAAATCCAAGGTACGGCAGAGGGAAACAATTACTGAACAGTCCCCCCCGAACAACAAGAACTCAACACGTTGGCACGTGCGGGGGAGACTGTGCAGTCGAGGTGCAACTCAGCAGACCCACCGCCAACTCAGAATCTGGGGGGAGGGGGGGGGGGGCGTGGACAGATAGATGTGGCATGAGTCTTCGTTTTTCTGTCCCCGAGGCCTGTAGGCTTCTGAGAGTGTCCATTGCCATGGCCCTCGCAGCTCTAGAGGTGCACGCCCGTGGGCCGCAGGGTGCGGGGGCACGGCCGGGCCAGGCTGCTCGGAGCTCTGCACTCTCCTCCGGCGGCTCGGGCGATCGGGGCCATGGTGGGCCCCGACCCGCCCAGGAGCGCGCGCGCTTCTTCCCCCCCCGCGAGGGCCCACCGTTGACATGCCTCGGCGGTGCGTCGTCGATCCCAGGTCGACGGTTCCCCGCTGGAGCCCGTCCCCACGATGGCGCTGGCCCCCCTCGGCCGCTCCGCGCCGCTCCGGAGCCGTTTTGACCCCCTCCGGCCCGAGGGCGGGCCTGCGCGAAGCGGCCCGGCGCTGGAGCGATGCAGGGCGCCCCCCCCGCGGAGGCGGAGAGGCGGCTGCGGCAATGGGCGGGCCAGGAGATCAGCAAGCTCCTGCAGATGCCCGCCGACGGCTGCGAGGAGGTGGTCGAGGTCATCTTCGGCTACGACGACGCCGGGGAGCTGAAGGAGTTCCTGGGCGGCTTCTGCGAAAACGCGTCCTGGAAGGTGGAGCGCTTCGTGGAGGAGCTGTTCGAGAAGCGCCACGGCAGGCCGAAGGAGCCGCCCGCGGCGCCCGGCGGCAGGGGCGCCCCGGGCAGGGGCGCCGGGGGGAAGGACGCCGGCGGCAAGGGCGCAGGGCGGGGCCGCGGCGAGGCCGAGAGCGCGAGGGGGCGCGGGCGCGGTGGCAGGGGCCCGGCCAAGGACTCGGAGGAGGGATAGAGGCCCCCGTCTTCGCCTCCCTGGGCCTCCTGGGATATACCCTCATTGCCACCGCCGGCTTCACACGCTGGCCGGGGCGCGCCCTGGGGGAGGTCCGTGGGGGAGCGGCGCGGGTACCTTGTTTGGGGGGCCTCCCCGAGGACGAGTACCCGCGGCTGCAGATCCCCATGTACGAGCGGGACAAGGCCGACAAGAGGCTGATCGTGATCGACGCCGCGTCGGGGCGGCACCCGGTACTGACCAACTGCCTCAACTGCGGCAAGGTCCGAAGAAGAAAGACAGCTATCAACAGAAACTTTTGGCGCTGGGCGCGAATTTCTTGGATCCGCGCTGGGCCCCCCCCTATAGCGTGCTCCGTGCGCCAGGGAGGGGGCCCGCCGCAGATTCTAGAAATGCGAGCGGAGCGCCAACAGTTTATGTTTATAGCGATCTTTCTGTTTTCCTGAGAACCGACGCAGCGAAAAAATTGCACCATCGCGAAAATCCGCGCCCGGAGCCCCGGACCCCATCTTTCTGCGCCATTTCTCGGACCAGGTCGATCTGCGAGGGTCCTGGGGCCCGAAGCGGAGCGAGCACGCCTCCTGTGAAGAAAGTGCACTGCCAGGAGCTCAGGATTCCAAAGGTGGTCACCGAGTCGGAGGGCTGGGGGCCGTGCCTCTTCTGCGGCAACCCCCTGGAGATGGGCGTCGGGCGCTCCGTGCTCCACGGGGACGACCGCGGCTACCTCGGGGGCGCGACCAAGAGCGCGCAGGAGGAGGAGGAGCGCAACAGGTCATGTGAAATCGGGCCTGTCCCCCTACGGGGGGAAGATTCAGAATAGTCGGTGGACGATCTGTTGAGTATTGTTGGCTATTGTTTGAATGTTTTTAATGTTTCGCCCGAAATCCGCCTGTAGGGGGACAAGCCCGACCTCAAGGTCGTTCGAGAGAGCGAAGGAGACCAAGGACCGCCTCCTCAACTACGACCGGAACTCCAAGCAGCGGACGGTGGTGTACGACGATGCCACCGACTGGTATTCCGAGTCCATCAACCCGTGGCTCAACGAGAGGCAGCGGGAGGACGCGATGCAGAAGGCCAAGCAGCAGGAGCAGCGCAAGCAGGACGAGAAGCGGAAGATCCACTGCTCGATCGACATATTCGGCCGCACCATCGTGGACACGAGCGCACAGGTCATGGCCGACATGGACAAGAAAAACAAGCAGGATTTGCATGACTGGACGATGAACGTCTCCGAGCAGAACAAGCTTCGGGACTTCGTTCAGAATGGCACGAAAGGCACAGGCGTCAGCGTGGCGGCGGCCCCAATGGCAGGAGACTCCCAGGACCTGTACAGCAGGCTGCGCGCATCCCTGCACGGTGCCCAGAGGAAGCTGCAGAGCTCCGAGGGAAAGTGGGACCCCCACAGGGCCAGCCCAGAGGAAGACGACCAGGCATCGCAGCGGAAGAGCACCCGATGGGACGCCTCCGTGGACTCCAATCGCGTCGAGGGCGAGTTCAGCGAGAGCACGCTTGGAGCCCTCTCGAAGTCCGCGGAGGCGGCGCCCAGGCTGCTGCCAGTGGACGAGAGCCCCTGCACCGACGAGGACGACAGCGGGGCCTGCATCTCCATGAACCAGCCGTGGGCCTCCCTGCTGATCCACGGGTTCTCGCGCACAGAAGGCCGCGGCTGGAAGACGGAGCACAGGGGCCGGCTGTGGATCCACGCCGCGGGCAAGGCGCCAGACAAGTTCGAGGTGGACACGCTGGAGCAGACGTACAGCAGCCTCTACGAGTCGAAGGGCGTCCCGGTGCCCGCGCTGCCGTCCCAGGCCGGCGGCTACCCGACGTCTGCGGTGCTGGGGTGCGTGGACCTGGAGCAGTGCTGGAGCCGCGAGGAGTACGCCAACGTGCTGAAGACGAACCCCGACATGCCGCAGGAGGAGAACTCCTGCGAGTACATCTTCTGGTGCCTGAGGCCCAGGAGGCTGACGGTGCCCATCAAGATGGGGGAGGACCAGAGGATCTGGCGCCTGCCGCAGGCTCGAGGAGGAGGAGGAGGAGGAGGAGGAGGAGGAGGAAGTGGAGGAGGAGGAGGAGGAGGAGGAGGAGGAACCGCCATGAACATGAAACACGCCATGCACATGAACTTGCGGCGCTCGGCGCGGAGTTCTTGGACCTGCGCTGAGGCCCCCCTGGCGCCGCCTCCGGCGCCGCCCTGGCGCGGAGCCCGGCGCAGGTCCGAGAAATCCGCGCGGAGCGCTCCAAGTTTACACATTTGTTCATGTCTAATTATTCGAGAGTTCTTTTTTTTTGGGGGGGGGGGGCAAGATCCTTTCATTTCTGATTGTTCTATCCTGGGCCTCTTCCTGGCCACCTAGGGCGCCAGGAACATAATCACCTACGAGCGCACTTGGAAACAAGCACGATTAGAAATGGTCGACGCGTATGCCCACTTAGAAAACGAGCACACTTAGAAACGAGCACACGTAGAAACGAGCACACCTAGGAACGAGCACACTCAGAAACGAGCACGCTTAGAAACGAGCCCGCTCAAAATGAACGGCGTTGTTTCTCTTCCTCCAGCAGGGCTGCCTGCCCAGCGCGCAGCGGGGCCTGCAGGCCGTGCGGTGGCCCGCGCCCTCTGACGCCGCCGGCCGCCTGGTGCTGCCGGACCTCCCCAGGCAGGAGCCCTCGCGGCCCTCCGCGAGCTCCTCGGCCACGGCGGGAGGCGCACAGACACAGACACAGACACAGACACAGACACAGACACAGACACAGGCACAGACACACACACACACACACACAATCACACACTTACACACTTACACACACTTACACACAGCCACGATTAATCGCCGATCCCCAGGAAAGCGTGGTAACAGTATGGGCAGTGGGAGGGAATACGACAGCCCCGAGCATGTTTGAAAATACTGGGAAGCCTGGGACTCCCTAGGATCAGCCGCTGCAAAGGAAATGCAACATCGAAGGGAATCACGACTGCAGCCCAGGACCCCATCTGTCTGCGCCATTTTTCAAGCTGGATCGATCTGCGAGGGTCCCGGGCCCCGAAGTTCAGCGAGACTGCCCGCTGTGAAAACACTCCAACGCCAGGATCTCAGGGCTTGTGTGCATTCAGTGTTACTGTGTGTGTGTGTGTGTGTGTGTGTGTGTGTCCCTGGGCCCCTCTGCAGGCGCCGGCGCGGCCAGCGCCGCGGGCGGCGCCGGCGCCGCGCGCAGCAGCGCCGGCGAGGCCAAGGCCGCCCCCGCGGCCGGCAAGGCCAAGGCCGCCCCCGCGGCGGGCAGCGCGGCCGTGGCGAGCGGCGGCGGAGGCCCGGCCAGGCGCGCCGCGCCGCCGTGCCTGGACCTGCTCCCGGCCGAGGCCCCCGCGGAGATCCTCGAGGCGAGCCTCAAGCAGTGGCGAAGCGTCCTGGCTCGCCTAGAGCCCAGACCCCCTCGGGTCGTGAACAAAATCACGACGGGAGGTTTTTCGACATTTTCGGCCCCCGGGGGCCCTTGCCGGGCCTAGGGACCGTCAAAAAACGACTCGGGATGAAAAACCGGTCCCAGGGAAGGGGTCCGGACCTCTGGGGGCCGCGTCATGAAAAAATCATGACGTCGGTGGTTTGGGAGCTTAGTGGGCCCTGGAAACGACAGGGCCGTTTTTGAGACCGGTTCCGGTTTGCCGTTTCTGTTGCCGGTTCCGACGCCGTGTTTGCACCGGTTCCGTCGCCGTTCTTTTGCGGGTTCCCGCTCCAGTTCCACTCCTGGAGACTTTTCTGCCGTTTCCGGTCGCCGTTTTTTTGCCGTTCCCATTTTCAAGGGGCACTTTTTCGGAAGCGGTGAAAAAACGGCCCTGCCGTTTCCGGGGCCCTAGAGGCCCACCGAAGAATGGTCTGAGAACCTCTTGGTGGTCTGCACGGACAACTGTTCGTCGAGCATCTCTGGCCGAGGCGGTCTCGTGTTGGCACCTCGGGCTTGCGTTCTAGGAGCATGGCTTTTCTTTTCAGAGCCCTTCTGGGTTCTAAGAACATGTCGTGGTAGGCTTATAGGAATGCCGGGACGGCCGGTCCCTGCCCAAGATCCGGGGCAAGGATAATCCCAGACCCCGTCGAGTCATGGGAAAAAACACGGCGGGAGGTGTTTCGCCATTCTCGGCTTCCGGGGGCCCTGGCCGGCCCCGGGGAATGGGTCCGGACCTCCTGGGGGTCGCGTCATGAAATTATAGCCGGAGTGCAGTATCCCCAAACAGGGTTTTTAGACCCACTGCGGTTTCCAAGGTCGATTGCGTGCCCGCCTAGTGCGGGCTGGCATGGCATGTTAAAACATGCCTCCTCCTCCTCCTCCTCCTCGTCCACCTCCTCTTCATCCCGAAAGGCATCTCGGAACCCAGAGTTGCGAGGATGTCTCCAGCGTAACGGGCTGGACCACCTCGCGCGCGGCATTTCGGACCCCAGAGTTGCGACGATGTCTCGGGCGAAACGTGCTGCGAGGAAGTCTCAGGCGAAACGGGCCGGACCACCTCGAGCGCGGCGTCTCAGAGCTCCGAGTTGCGGGGGCCTCCTGGTGCCTCCTGGGGCCTCCTGGGGACCTCCTGGGGCTTCCTCCCGGGCCTCCTGTGGCCTCCTGAACTCCACCTGAGGTTTCCTGAAGCATCTTGGGGCTCCCAGGGGGGATATCTAACCTGTGGCCGTTTGGGCCTCTCCAAATACAGGGGGGGGCCACAGGAGCAGGAAAAATCAACGAATCGACACCGGATGTGTATTAACTTGACACGTTCTGATAGAGGGCCTCCTGGGGCCTCCTGGGAGCCTCCTGGGAATCTCCTGCGGACCCCTGGGGCCTGTCCTGGGCGTCCTGCGGCCTCCTGAAGCTCTCTGGGACCTCCCCCTCCTCCTGCCTGCTCCCTCATGCACATCATCCGCCTCCTCCTTCTCCCTTCCATCTCCTCCTCCTCCTCCTCCTCCTCCTCCTCCACCTCCTCTTCATCGCGAACGGCATTTCGGAGCCTAGAGTTGCGAGGATGTCTCCAGCGTAACGGGCTGGACCACCTCGCGCGCGGCATCTCGGACCCCAGAGTTGCGACGATGTCTCGGGCGAAACGTGCTGCGAGGAAGTCTCAGGCGAAACGGGCTGGACCACCTCGAGCGCGGCGTCTCAGAGCTCCGAGTTGCGGGGGGGGGTGCCTCCTGGGGCCTCCTGGGGACCTCCTGGAGCTTCCTCCTGGGCCTCCTGTGGCCTCGTGAACTCCACCTGGGGTTTCCTGAAGCCTCTTGGGGCTCCCAGGGGGGATATCTAACCTGTGGCCGTTTGGGCCTCTCCAAATGGAGGGGGGGGGGGCACAAGAGCAGGAAAAATCAACGAATCGACACCGGATGTGTATTAACTTGACACGTTCTGATAAGCGGCCTCCTGGGGCCTCCTGGGAGCCTCCTGGGAATCTCCTGGAGACCCCTGGGGCCTGTCCTGGGCGTCCTGCGGCCTCCTGGTGCCTCCTGGGCCTCCTGGGGACCTCCTGGAGCTTCCTCCTGGGCCTCCTGTGGCCTCCTGAACTCCACCTGAGGTTTCCTGAAGCATCTTGGGGCTCCCAGGGGGGATATCTAACCTGTGGCCGCTTGGGCCTCTCCAAATGGAGGGGGGGGCACAAGAGCAGGAAAAATCAACGAATCGACACCGGATGTGTATTAACTTGACACGTTCTGATAGAGGGCCTCCTGGGGCCTCCTGGGAATCTCCTGGGGGCCCCTGGGGCCTGTCCTGGGCGTCCTGCGGCCTCCTGGACCTCTCTGGGGCCTCCTGAGGCTCGCAGGGTCCCATGGAGGATATGTAACATGTGGCCTTCTGGGCCCCCAGGCTGGACCACCTCTTGCGCAGCATCTGAGAGCTCAGAGTTGCGAGAATATCTTGTGCGAAACAGGCCGGACCACCTTGCGCACGGCATCTCAGATCTCAGAGTTGCAAGGATTTCTCAGGCGAGACGGGCCGGACCACCTCGCGCAGGGCATCTCAGAGCTCAGAAGTTCGAGGATGTCTCAGGCGAAACGGGCCGGACCACCTCGCGCGCGGCATCGGGGAGATCAGAGTTTCGAGGATGTCTCAGGCGAAACGGGCCGGACCACCTCGCGCGCGGCATCTTGGAGCTCAGAGTTGCGAGGATGTCTCAGGCGAAACGGCCCGGACCACCTCTCGCGCGGCATCTGGGAGCTCAGAGTTTCGAGGATGTCTCAAGCGAAACGGCCCGGACCACCTCTCGCGCGGCCTCTCAGAGCTCAGATTTAGGAGGATGTCTCAGGCGAAACGCTCAATCCCGGACAACTCAGAAACGAGAGTTGTGAGGATGTCTCAGGCGAAACGGGCCGGACCACCACATTTGTTTGAGGATGTCTCTGCTTAGCTTTCCCTCGGCCGGAATTAGCTTCTATCACTACAGCACCCCGTTCAGCAAGCTGTTTGGGGAAAAATCACGATGTTGGGGGTCTTGGAGGATGATTAGGAAGGGATGCCTGGGGTCCTGGCGTTACCACTCTTTTTCGCAGCGGGCGTTTTTTCGCTCCGCCTCGGGCGGGCCCCAGGGCCCTCACAGATCGATGCGCCTCGGAAAATGGCGCAGAAAGATTGTGTCCTTGGGCTACGGTCGTGATGTTCTGCGATGTTGTATTTGTTGTTGCAACGTCGGATCTCCGGGATAGGCACAGGGGGGCATGTATAGACCACCAATCGCCCATTGATCGCCGATATGGGCCTGATAGCCCCAACCCGCTCAGGAAGGTGCGGTTTCGCTATCGGGGTCCTATCGCGGATCTATCGAAGATGTATCGCCGATTCCAGGTCCATGCATCCCCCCCCTATACCAGTCCCCCCCCTCATCTTTGCCCCTCAGGCGATCACCAAGGACACTGACGGCCTCGACAGGGACGCGATGGTGCTGCAGTCCGGCTTCGTGCAGCTCGTCGGGTTCGTGCCGGCCGACGTGCAGCAGAGGATCGTGGACGAGATGCGTGAGCTAGGCATCTCGGCCAGCGGCTTCTTTCCGGAGCAGTTCGACGGGGTCAAGAACTCGCCGGGCGTGCTCAGGATGCACCTGGGGAGGCACTGGAACACTGCCGCGCAGAGATATGAGGTCGACAGGGGCAACCTGGATGGCGCGCCCGCCGCACCCCTTCCCAAACTGCTAGCTGACATGTATCTGGAGGCGGTCAAGCGTGCGAACCGGGAAATGAATTCTGGTGCCAACAAGAAGAGGAAGCTGAAGCCCTTCCCAGAGGGCAAGGCGCCAGACGCCGCGGCGGTGGACTTCTTCCCGCCCTCGGCAACCATGCAGATCCATCAGGACAGGAGGGAGTCGAACGAGTCCATCAACGCGGGCTACGCCGTGATGGGCATCTGTATCGGGGATGCCTGCGACTTTGCCTATGGCACAGAGGCCCCCACTGACAAGAGGAAGCCGAAGAGTCTGACGCTGAAGAGCGGAGACGTGGTCCTGTTCGGTTCGGACTCCAGGCTGTTGTGGCACGGGGTCAACCGGATCATGCCACGGACTGCCCCGCCGTGCTTGCGCATGATTCCTGGACGGCTGAGCCTGACAGTGAAGGTGCTCTGAGTGAAGGCGGGCGAGTGCACCAGATGCTTGTTTCGGGGACCTCCCTGGGGACCACCTAAGACGGACGTGTTCGACTCCAGCTCCACCCTAGCTATACTCAAGCTCGACTCGAGTTCGACTCGAGTCGACGTAGCATCGACGCATGCGTGGAGCGAGTGGCTCCAGGAAGGCCCCCAGAGCGAGCATCGAAAGTGCGGGTGGCTCCCTCGTGGGTGCGCGCATCTGCTTGTCTCGTGGGCCCACTTCTTCGCCGGCCCCCTTCCCCTCGACAGCGCAGAGGCCCGACCCGCGGGGCGCAGCACAGGCGACGTCGCGCGTGGCCGCTCGCGGTGTCTCGAAGAGGAAA